ATGGATTGTTGTCTTTGGAAGCGCTTCCTCCGTCAAAGCGAGCAGGGCAGGAAACCATGACAAGACGCAAGCGTGTCGTGGCCTCAGTGCGACCGAGGTGGCTCCCAGCGGAATCAAGTCAAATACGGAAAAATAAACAAAAGGTGACGGAATTACCCCCAAACCCGTCAGGTATTATATTGTGAACGCATTCCAAACTGAATCCCTCATCCATCCCCTCTAAGTAGCTTTAAGCGCATTTGCTCACCCTCAGCTCGCATTAACACCGACGTGATGACAGACGAACAAATAAGCAACAGTCATCGTTGTTTTGTTTGGGGGGGGCTACCTGCTTTTTAACATGTTGAATACAGTCCTATCAATTATTTTTTTGTAAATTACATTTCATTTTTCTATGAGCGGAAGAAGTATAAGGAGGTTTTCTGTAAGCGGGTATCTCCACGAAGTGTCTCCAGTTGGTCCAGAATGCTGCTGATTGCATCTTGACTGGTACTCGTAACAGGGAGCACATAACTCTTTGGCATCCCTTCACTGGCTCCCGATACATTTTAGAGTTTTTTTTAAGATCCTATTATTTGTTTTAAAATCTTGAAATGGCCTCGCTCCACCGTTGTTCATCTCTGTGTGCCCTGCGATTGGCTGGCAACCGGTTCAGGGTGTCCCCTGCCTACTGCCCGAAGACGGCAGTCGGCAAGCCCCCTCGCTGCCCATCTTTGAAACTCGTCTTAAAACTAATTTTTATTCTTCGGCATAAATACAGTTATTCGAGATGCAAGTAAACTTTTCCAGATGTTTTTTTTCTTGGCGCTGATTCAGAATCAGCCCCCAGTTTGTTTTTTTTCTCAAGCACGTCAGATTTTCACAACAATCACAAAATTTGAAAAAGTACATCAAATATTCATTTCCAATCTGAAACCCACATGCCGCACGTTTAATTGCTGCGTGCTCACGTTTAGCGCAGACGCACGCATGCGATATTTTGAAAAACAAAGAGTTGCAGAGGTCAAAGTGCAGCCAGAGTGCATGATGGGACGCGGCGGGCGCCTCCCACGTAGCAGCTGTGTCCTGCACGCTCTCACAATACCTGAAAATAACTGCCAGCGTCCTCGCTTCATTCAACGCGTCCCGTGTGGGTGTCTAGAAAGTAGAAACACAAGATTGGGACAAAAAGTGCCCTTTTTTTTTTTTTGCTTTGTTTTAGGCCCTCCTCCCAAAATCAAACATTTGATTCAAATGTAAATGACGGCAGCTCACCGTAAGACGGAGGCTCTTTGTTTTCACGGCTTCTTTGTCAATTGAGATGCTTCCGTTGTCTTCTCCTTTTCTGGCCTCGAAATCCGCCCGGCAACCGGCGTGCGTGTGCGTCACGTCTGTAGCCGACAATTGTTGTTATAATTTCACATTAATTTCACAGTGAAGTCACATTTGAATGGCTCAACACGTGCAAAACCACTGCACGATAAAAACAAAATGCGAAACCAACTCACCTTTCTGGTGTCGAATGTCAGTAAGTGTTAAAAAAAACAAAAACATGTTGAAGGTAATTACTCCTTGAGGACCTTCCTTGAGATCCTGTAGAGACATGAACCCCTGTAAAAGATACTAAAACAAGTTAATTGAATGTTTTACCCTAATTTAAAAACAAAACACAGAAAACCCCCAAATCGTCTTTTTTTTTTTTAACAATCTTTATTTATTGCACAATTTGTAAATATAATACAACACATTTCCTCAAACAGAGTAGAAGAAAAAAAACACAAATCTAGGAAAAGACCGTGATCGTAGCAGATTCCGCTGCAATAGTGAACACATTTTTCCCTGAATGTCAGCATTTTTATTTTTTCTTTTACCTTCAATTTCATTCTTTATGCGAGACGGTCCATGATTGACGATCGCTGTTTAACCCTTTCAGGGACAGCTGGGTCACGACAGTGGACAGCTAATCATGTGATCAGGTTACAGGGTGCCTGAAAGGGTTCAACGACGGCGCTTCAGTCTTCGGGCCACGTCCTTGTTATGTAAGGCGTTGACAAGGTATCGGTCTGCGTTATGCAACAGCTTCTTATGAATGTCCCACGTAGAAAATCGGACTTTTTGGGATCCCAGCACATCACAGAGAGCCGATCGAACCTTCCCCACCCAAAAACGTGTGTGCAAGATTTGGATCCTTATGTTTGCATTGTTTCCAGCATGGCTGGTGAATTTTCAATTTTGTACTGTCAAAACAGTGACGACAATATGGCCCGTGACAAAACTGAATTTGACACCCTTGCTTCAAAGTATTTTTTGGTGGCCTAAAAACACCCATTAGAGTACAAAAGTATTGTCCCGTGATTGTTTTCGTCTCCTAAAAATGTTTGCCACATTTTTGGCTTGAGTTCAACGGACATTGTGCTGCTCCCTCTTGTGTGCAGGCTATTGCTTGCATTAAATGGCGAATGGGTTTTTTTTCCACTGGGTTGAGGTATTGGGAGTAGTAAAGGAATTTTTTTGGGGGGGG